GGACTGAGTCCCGCGGGCCGCCAGTTGAATAAACAGTGTTTTGGTCGGACAGGAGCAAGTTTTTGTTGGTCCTTCTCCAAGGCGTGTTGTCGTCGCTCCGCCCCTATTTATGCTAGTCCCGCCCCCTTTTCATTAACCAGTCGAGCGTCGCGCTGCAGCCAACAAGAATGCRTTGCTGCAGCCGGACGGGTTGAGTTCATGTCGAGCAAGTTCAGGTCGAAGACGGTGGCTACAGGCGAGTACTCACAGTCCAGGGAGTCGGTGAGGTGTTGGGGGTCTGTAGGGGGGGTCAGTCTGTTCGGACACTGCAGCCGGAGAGCAGTGGAGACGGGCGGCGGGGGGGAGGACACTGACCATGACGAGCCTCGGAGCAACAGGTAGAGCTGGTGAGTTTAGTGATGAACTCGGTTTGACCTGTAATGAGGAAACTGGTATTCGTTGGACTGGTTTCCTCACATGACGGTGGAAAGTCTTGTCGGACGTGTTTTTGTTGTTCCAGGAGCCCAGGAGCAGCAGAGAGCCCCCTCCTCCTCCTCCCCGCAGCTCCCTGCAGATCATGTGCTCAACTCTGGAGCTGTGCTGTTTCCTGGTACATTCCTCTCCTGTTACCTGTCTGTTAGCAAAATATCTCATGAAACACTGGATATTTTCTAATGAAACTCTCTGAAAGTAATTGCAGCCTAGGATTGAGCGATATATTAGTGATTTTGGAAAAAAAAAGATTAATTGTGGCATAAATTTAGCCAATAAGGACTAGATGGCAAATATCCTTGAATGTTTTGACTTTAAATCAGTTCTAAAATTATAGCTAAGCATCATCTAGGGATGTGGATAAATTTTTAATCTTACACCAATATTAAATCTGACAGCAGATTCCAAAAGAACATTTCAAAYCAWACAAAATATCACCAAAATCATGTGATGATCTGAAGTATGAGGGAAGTTATTGATGTTTGTTTAGGTGAAATCAGCTCATGTTTTCTTGCTGCAGTTCACAGCAGAACCAATGGGACCATTTCACCTTACTGTTTTCTAATTTTGCTCATAACTTCCTCAGTGTGCAAGAGATGGCCATGAAATTTTAGGAAAAGATTCACATTCTGGTTTTGTAGGAAGCATCTTGTCTCCTAAAAAACTAATAAAACTTAATAATAGCCAATTCAAAAGTAGCAGAAAAGGTATAAAATAACATTACAAGGCAAACTGTAGCATCAAATCAACTTAATGTGTCTTAGAAAGTAAGGAAATTAAAACAGTTTAAAAACCATGTGGACATCTGTTTCGTAAACAAAGCTCCTCAACCAATGACAGCGTTAAATGTGTTAAGTGATGAAGACGAGTGCCAACACACTTTGCAACAAGTGCTATTATGGATTTAAAAAAAACATACTTCGACGTTTCAAATCATTATCAAATTTGGAACAAGGGCAGATAAAACAATGTTCTTC